ATAATAATAATAATAAGGGTGTTTTTGAGTTTTTATTGGGCTTGAGGTTTTTTAAAATGGGCATACCAAATTCCCAACTGATCACCAATCAAGCATCAAGGGAGTACACGGCGAAGCACACAAGGATAATCTAGTACCTAGACAAAATCTAAGAGCTTTTGAAGACATTCCCTACCTTCACTATCCAACAAATTTCTCGGGCAGAAAACACACATGCAAAGCGTTGGCGAGTCAAAGAAGCAGAGTCGCAGAACTTGATGCAGATCAATGAGGATCCCAATTGGCAAGGCCCCATCATCAACTACTTGGTAAACGAAAATTTTCCAAGGGAGAAGTCTGAGGCCAGAAAAATCAAGCAGAAAGCTGCAAGATACTATATGAGGGGCAACAAGCTTGTTCGAAGGTCATACTCCGGCCCTCATCTCACCTGCATCAAGTATTCGCAAACTCTTGAAGTGCTCTGTAAAATCCATAACGGCGAGTGCGGCAACCATTCTGGGGTCAAATCACTTGCTCAGAAAAGCTTTAAACATATGCTATTTTTGGCCTACCATGAGACACGACTCCACAGAGTATGTCAAAAGATGTGATTGATGCCAACGATACAAGCCGATACCTAGCCTGCCTACTGAAGTGTACCATCCACAGAACAGCTCGTGGCCATTCATGCAATGGGCCTTTGCCTTAGTAGGTCACATGCCGCAGGCACCTGCCAAGAAAGACGGATCCTGTGATTTTTCCGACATCTAATCGATGTCGGGCCCACTTACTAATTACAAATATTCTCTTCCACTAAAACAAAATAAATGAGGGCCGAGACTTCTACCGAAATTTCAGCAGAATCTCTCCTGAAAAACGAACTTTACCAAATTTTTAACCTTTCAAAAACACAGTTTAAAATCACCAAACTAGCATGCACAAAGTACATCACACACAACAAACAAACAGGCCTCCGGCCTCATAACCAAACATTTTCTAAAACGTTCTTGCTTTTGAACTCTTTTGTAAATCCATACACCTGTATCAAATATCGTAACAGTAATAAGAAAAGACATTTCTCCTTCCAAAATTCATTTCCACACTTAGAACAATACAAGCACAACTCAAACAGTTTATTTTGCGGCTGCACCTAGGTTAAACCCCAAGCTACCTACGTACCCCTTTGTGAGGGATCAAGCCACACGTAGTTCTTATATCAATAATTAGCATCACACACACAGAACATTCAAAACTTCTATAGTCACTCTCTATCAACCTGTATACGTGAATTATCCGTTACAATTTACAGTAAACAAAACTATTGTAGCTACCACTTTTTTATAACCAACTAGAAACTAGCTAAGCTGCAATCTATATACTCAAGATATGGTATAATTTCACAATATGGTCCCACGTACATAAGCAACCACAAGATAGCATACACCAGATACAACTAACCTTCCCAACGAACATGCCTTTTTCCGAGGCGCCTGTTTACCCAAACATGAGAAAGTCCGATTAATCTTACGAAACACATGAGTTAAGACTATACAAGATTCCACAATTCCAAAGGAGTATCACAATTCGGAAAATATACATATATCGTCCAAGTAAAACCAATGTTTAAATTTAGATTCATTCTCAACTTCAATTTCCACAAGGCATATAACTAAATATTTTAAAAATTCCTTTCTTCCCATGATTCATAACTCAAAACCATTTCCCACAACCATACCTTATCCAAGGCGTATATTGCAAAACAACACTGTCCAAACATCATAACAATGATCGCACTTGTGCAGAGCACTCACCATGCACATGCTCGAGAAACCCTAACCCAGAAACAGATCTACACATTTTCCCACATATATAAATATACATATATATATACACACACACACACCCCACACCATCACCATGTACCAGGGGAAAACAATCCAACACGGGAATTGTTTGACTAAACCATATGGGAGAATCCTCAGTTGACCATGTGGCTAGGGAACGAGCCGTCTAACCGGGGGACTAGGCTCACCAGCCCGCACAGTAGAATCCTCAATACTCATACGTCTATAAAAAGTTATACGCACGCAGACTGCCGGCCAAGGGCCTACGAAACACCCCACCAAGGGTGCCCGAAGCAACCTCAACAGAACCCCAAACATCATAATGAATTAAATCTAAGGGAAAAGAAGTTGTATGATTACTCAATAGATAAACAACACAATGACTTTTAGCCAAGACACAAGTTTCACAGTTGAACTCAAACTCCACTTGATGGAGAAGTAAAGATAAAAAAAAAAAATACTTGAGGTAACCAAATGACGAATGTCCCAGGCGACGATGCCAGGAGGTGTGATTAACGTTATCAGAATAGGCTGCAGCCTGTAGTGCTAAGTAATACAACACGCCCTTCGTGTACCATGCCAATTATCTCTTGAGTGTTAAGATCCTGAAACTAGCAATAATAAGGATAGAAAGTAGCATAACAATTGTATGATAGTGAAGAAATTTGGCAACAGATAATAAATTGGAATTGAGGTTAGGGACAAGCAAGACATTTGAGAGAGAGATAAGGTGTGGGAAAGACAAAGAGTAGTGATGTAGGGATGACGGAGTGTAGAAGACAAGAGAGCAAACATGCGAGATTCAAAAGTCATATGATCACTAGCTCTAGTATCAATTATCCATGTATTTGTACCATTACGTTGTGGTGGGTCATAAGCAGATAAAAGAACATAAGGTTCCAACAAAGTAGACCCCGTACGAGCAACATAGAATGTCTTATCATGAGCCATGAATCAAATAGCACACAAAAACAAAGCAAAGATCATAATGGAAATACACAATAGCAAACCCTAAAAAAAAATGGGGAACATCAAGAGGCAAAATTAACGGCAAGGCAATGGCAACAACAACAACAACAAAAGTAAAGGGAAAGGCATGATTGTTGTTAATGCTGAATATTTTTGTCTACACTTTATTCCAAAGCTGAAAGAATTAAAGTATTTATGACTCTTGCAACTAAATTTTAACTGAAAAATAAAGAGCATGATTGTAGATGCCCCTACCCTAAGAGCATCTTCAACAGTCTCTTCAATAGCTCTGATTTTTCAAAACATTTATTTTACTTTGGAAGAACAAAACCTACATTGAAAATGCTAAAAACATGCACTTTTTCTTTTAAGATACTAAATATATAGACATTCTTCACATGTTTTCATTTTTTTATACACACTTTATTAATTGAATTGAAGAATCACTAGAGCATATATATATATATATATATTATTAAAGTAGCAAACAGATTTTTTTAAATTACCACATTCATCAACAAATTTTTAATTTGACAAGTTCAATTTGTTACTACTATTGGAGATGCTCTGGGTTAGCAAAGTCCAGGTGCACCCCAACCATCATGCCATTAAACAGGGCATAAATTGAAGAGCGGTCCGCCACATCACGGTTATGTCTAACATGATTGTTTATTCTTGGGGTGCTTACAAAGGAAACTACCTCCAGCAACTCAAGTCAGAGGAGATAAGGCCCACATGTTTCCCACCTCCACTAAGAAATCCTTTTCCGGTTTCTCTGCACTAAAGATTTCTGAATTTCCAAATAGTCCAAGACCCGATCTCGGAAGAACCCCCTTCCATCCCGTCTTATTTCTTGTCAGTAGTAGTGCACGTTCCAGTTCCCGTTCGGCAAGTGAGTAATTCTTTCTCGTTAAGATTCTCCTCTCACCTCTCTCTCTCTCTCTCTATCTCTCTCTCTCATGTTTTTAATTTTCATTTCTTATGCTATTAAGAGAAAAGTTATATTCTCCCTTCACCTCTCTCTCATCTTTTCGTTTCGTTTACAACTATATGGTTTTGAATTGCTACGTATCAGAGTGGCCTTACAGACGAACTAAGAGTTATCTCATTAACAACATAGAACGATTCTACTATCCTTATTACAGAGAAAGCGATAACCACTGACTCGCTGGTAACCTGTTCGCATTTGTTTTCTTTTTTCTATTTCTAATTTGTTTCCTGTTTTCAATAAGTTTATACCTCCAATATATAAATTATAAAATAAGACTTTGTAGGTGTGCACAACTTATAAGAGAGAAAAGAGAGATTCATAAATGGAGAATGATTTCGTTGAAGCAGCTCCTTCATCTACAGTTGATATTCCAGAATTTTTAAAATCCTTCCCGAAGCTGTCTAGCTCTGATTCATCTGCCAATCTTGTTTCTTTACCTAATGGTGCTAAAGTTGTTGCCACTGAAAGTCTTGCTAGAAAAACAGCTTCTCATTACACATTAGCGGACATGTTAAAAAGATCAGACGTTACTTCGCGATGGGAGGATGGTCGTGTTGTGGACGAGTATTCCAAAATTATTCGGTCAGTTTGCAAACAATTTAATTTTTTTCTTACATTACAACTTTTTTCTTTCTTTCTAAATGTTACTAACTGTGTGATTGGATGTGGGAAATAAACTTTGGAGTGAGACACAAATCAGAATCTCTATATTGGCATACATAAGTTCCCGTGTTTGGATTAAAAAAACATAGAAATTTAGAAATTCCACGTAACAAAAACATGAAATTTGAATTGCAGAAATCTCAACTTTAAATAGTTGTCATTTCTAAAATTCTAAGAGAATAGAAGTTATAAAATAGTAAATTTCATGTGTAAAACCATTAGCCAAATAAGAAATTTTACAAATTTTAGAACATTAGTTTACATCATTTTAAATTCCAGCGTTTATGAATTCCTCTACTAGTGCACTAACTCTACTTTTTCAAAAGGGATATTATTGAGTTACTATTCCAATTGGAGTTGAAAGATATACGTTCTGGCAACTTGAACGATGGTGACATAGTCATTATTCATGGTAGAGCAAAGATCCCCTATCTTGCAAATCCTTGTATTGAAACTAAATTGCCAAGCTATAGACAAGAATTCAAATCTTTGGTTTCAAGAATGCTCGGGGAGAATGCTGCAATAGTGGAGTTAGTGCACTTCTATGGCAAGATCGACCACCTTGGGTAAGAAAACCATCTGATCAACTTTTAACTATTTTTTTAAATAATAATAATTATTTATATAAAAGTATCTTTGCTTGTGGATTAATCTTCCTTGTATACGTGAAGGATGACTTTTAACGACTTATGGTATCATCCTCTGCTCCAATCATCTAATGAGAGATATTTTTTCCCTCTTGACGCCTGGTTGCATCTTCAATATGAGAGAAGAGATACATGGAGAAATATGTATCAAAATGTGGTGAATAATGATATTGACATTAACACAATCATTGGAAAATCTAAATATAAGGCTTTTATGTCAGTTCTTTTAAAAAAAACCAAAAGGGAAGGTGCATATAAGAATAATGCCTTGGGAGTGTTTGATTACTCAAGAGACATACTCGAGAATGTTAATAAATTTGTGGACAAGGACGATGAAAGAATTTCGGTATGCATATCAACTTAAATTACTTTGTAAATTTATATATATTTATATATAAAAGAATGTTTAATAATTTGATATCAAAACGTTTGCAGACAAAGCATGAAGTGGAAGAAGAGCTTACTTCATTGTTCCCCACACGGCTAATAGATTTATATGAGTTCTTGTATTGCATGGGCATTAGTATGAACTCCTTAGGGCTACGAAGGTACACTACTACACAAAGTACTTTCTATAGCATTAATTAATAGCATTTTGTTTTCTGAAACAATTTTAATAAAATTGCTATAGTAGTAAATGAAGTAGAACATATATATACATTCCCCTTCTATTGAGGGATCCCTCAAATAATTATTTGAGGACACCTTTTAGGATCCCCTACAATTTTTTTTTTCCAATGATCCAAACCATATTTTTCACATCTTTATTCATAGACCATCCTTGTAAAAAATCATGCTGATTGAAAATCATTACAACATCTAATTGGGACCAACAAAATAAACGAATACGGTGCCTTCCACAAAAGACTATAATAACAATCATCTTCTTGATTGGTCAAATTGTTTCCGATTCAAGTAATTCTTTTGCATAGATGATCTTTGAATGAATATCTAAAAACTCTTAAAAGTGAATATAAAGGCAAAAACTCTTAAAAGTGAAACGTTCAAAATCCTGAAATTAACCTTAGTTAAAGAAAATGTTAAATCCAAAAATATTTTATCAAAACAGTTATTCTCTCATCTGGATGTCTACACGTTATTATCGTGCGGATGACATTGTAAACAATGAGGAAAGCAAGGAGGGGTAGTAGAAAATACATGACGTTCGCACGATAATAACATCCAGACGTCCGTATAGGAGAAAATATTTTATTAAATAAGACTAAATTAGTACACTTACAATATGTTTAAATTTAATTAAATAAAATATAAAAGGAAAAAGAGTATTATATAAGTTAAGGGGCGCACGCACGGGTAAACTGAGTAAAAAAAAAATCCAACTGGCACACGCCTACGGCTAGTGATTAGTGTCACTTTGAGACGTCAACTTCGCATTTATTTGAAGCTCTCTCAACCAAGTTGATTAGTAAATTTTCATCTAAATTCTCGCAGATCATATTGCTTAGACTCTAATTGGATTTAGACCAAGCTCCTACTCCATTATGAATCAGAAATGAAAAATCGTACATCTCAATCCGCAAATCGTAACTCATAAAATACTATTTGGATTCTGGAAATCGCAATAGAAATCTCAGTCGTAATCTTCGTTGCAATCTCAATCTTCGACCAAGATTCACAAATCGCAAGCTCTGATCAAAATTCAAGAATTGCACAAGGTCCTTTGTAATATGCATATGAAATCGTATTGTTTTGGCTTTGGTTGTAGAGCTTCTAAGCAAGATTGCAACTCAAATATGAAATTAGGTCCACTATTAGTGATGATGTCGATGCGATGAAAAGATAATAAAAAAAATCAATGTATTATAAAACTCATAGACATAAGATTTTATGTTTTTTATAGGATGTAAAATACCTACGAAGATGTTTATCCCAAAGTGTTATACTAGTGTATGCTTCAATTTTTAGTTTGTATCTGATATCATGTTGTTCTATTATTCCCAGATCAATGTAGACTCAGAACTTTGATCATGAACACAGCTGCCCAACCTTCACGCCCCCAAAAGCCAAAGAACTTGACCATGATCGATGTAGACGTAGAACTTTGATCATGAATATGATCCTAGCTTAATGGAGTTGATTGCATGTTGCAGCATTTACATTGCTTTTGCATAAGCTAGTTTTTTCTAACTCAAGTTTTTAGTACCAAGCCTCGAGTTTCACATGATATGCTCTTTGTGAATGTTGGTTCATAATCATGCTATCCTTTTATCCCATGCCACTATTATCTATGCTTTATAACATTTTGGAGCTTTGATCCCTTGTCTGGTATGATTATGACTAGTCATATCTACTGGTTAGTTGTCATTGGGGTTTTATGTTGCTCAGGTTGTAGGTTATTTGCTTTGACCTATTTCGTTTTGATTTGATATGGTTACTTTTGTCAGATTTTGGACCAAATCAATGCTTTTGGTTATCTGATTAATATGCCTTGGATTGTTTTCTATTTGATACATTATGTGTTTTGGCACTTCTCTTTTGAGCTCTGCATTTGCTATGATTTTTCTTATCTTTAGCCTACTCTTACATGTCATTTGATCTCCTTCTTTTGATGTGATTTGGAAGTTTTTTGGACTTTGTCTAACAGGACTCGTCCTGGACTTTCCCCTTGGAATCCGTGACGAACCTTGCTTCCCGTCCAGATCTAACTGATGTCGGACCCACTTTCCTGAAACGTTCTTTAGCCCTAATTTAAACTGATAAAGGCTTCAACTTCTATTGAAATTTTGGCAGTCTCCCTTGTAACTGGAACATTTCCCAATTTATAGTACCTGCAAACAAGTGCCAGAACAAACCCTCAAATGGGCTTCACACCTTCTACCCAAGCTCAAAATGAGTAAGCAGAGCAACTAAAGATTAAGTTTACAACTCGGGGAAAATGAAAGTAGAGAAAGATAAATGAGGAATTCTTATAGTGCGTGATGAACACATAATTATTACAATTTCTATCCCTAATCTATATTTGTTAGTACTTTATTTTAATGAAGTTTGCACCAATTAGAATGTTCCATTGCATTTTAAGAATCCATTTGCACTTCATTGAAAGATAGGCTAATTCATTTGAATTCTCTATTTGGTTATCTCTCCTTGAAGTGGCACCCAAACTCTTATCAATTGGGCAATAATTGTTACATTCTAATATCATGATTTTATATAGGTGCATGTTGGAGCTATTAAGGAGAAAGAATGTGCATGCATGTGAAGTAAAAAGAAAAGAATGAAATGAAATGAAGCCAATTCCAGTCCATTTCCGGAAGTCAACTTGCAAGGCCCAAAACGTTCCCTTCTACTGCTCAGATGAGAATACATTCTTCATAAAAGTTGTTCCAATGGGTGTCTATTATGACATATCCAAATTTGAGCCCCATTGGATACATATTGAAACCTCAGGCCTTCCTACACCAAGCCTGGTTCAGAAGAATCGTTTTTTCCAGCAACCAAAAGAAAACCCATGTGAAGAAAGCTTGAGGTGCAGCAGCTAAAGAATTGAAAAGAATGCATGAAGTGCCACACGCATGCCAAAATAGGATGAAAGCCACTAAGAAGTATGGGATGAAAGCAAACAATTCAACAATGGAAGTATGGGATGGAATTGATTCCAACCACACTAACTTAGACAAAGCATTTGATGGCAATTGACGGGTGAAACACTTGGTAGTAGCAAGGTGGAATAATAGTTTAATCAAAGCAAGTTGCAACATGAGCAATTCCCATTCTCTATAAATAGAGTGTTGCCGTAGAAGGAAAAGACACCAAGCTCACAATCTTCTCTTGAGCTCTCTCTCCTTCCTCCAATTCTTCTAGTTCTAAATTTCTGTTTTAGTTTTATTTTATGGGGAACTAACTCCCTAGCTAAGGCTAGGGAGAAAGCTTTTAATATAAGTGTGTAATTTTTATTAGTTTGATCCAAACTTAAGCTTTAATGTGATTTTGTAGTTTTTGTTCAAATGGAATTTGTAGTTTTCTTTTTTAATTAATTGATGAATGTTTGATAATCTATTTCATGGGTTCAATCATGTTTTTCCCATTGTGTAGTAAAAACTTTCATGCTTTTAAAAGAGAAGAGAATTACTAAAGATTAATAGAATTTTGACGAAGATTATTTTTTGATAATTTGTTGCCAATGGTACAAGTTATGCTTAGAATACTTCTAAAGGAAATTAAAAAGAGCTGTAATTATTTTGAACAACTACATTGGAAAATATTTTGTGGATCAAATTATTAAGAGTTGCATGTTTATGTTAAAGTGGAACCCCAATGCCTTAGTGTTTTAGTCAATTGAATTTTCTTTAAATCAAATCTTGCATAAATTTACTTCTCAATCACACTTGTTCTTTTTCATCTCTGTTATTTTTTTTACACCGCTCTCTGTGGAAACGACACTCGAACTTCCGAGCTACACTACTATACGACACCTTCCCTTAGGTTTTGCAAAGTGGTTTTAACAGTGCGGACTGCGGCGATGCCTCGACTTGGTGGTCTCAACCTCGAATATGTAGAACCTGGGGGGCGCAAAACAAAAAATGTGAGTGGACGAAAACAAGGCTTTAATTATATTCAATATAAATAACCCCTATGTTTTAGAAAATAATGCCATGCAATAAAATCTTTTGTATACGTACATATATACATATATACCATCCGATACTTGAAAATAATTCAATTCAGTAAGTTCATGTCATAACATATGATAAGGGAAACTATATAATTAATACTTCTCAAATTCTTGAAAAACGATGTAAACTTGTTCTTTTAATCCTTACTGTAAAACCGTATATTCAAACCCACACAAAAAATATCCCGTTAATACAAAATATAATCATCAAAACCCAAAATCCTTTTTCCCGCAACCATACCATTGCAAAAACACAATATGCCAAATAATTTTTAAATATCCAATCTCAATTCCGGACTTCATTTCAAATGTTCATACTTGTGTAGAGTACTCTCAATGCACATGCTCAAGAAACCTCAACCTGGAAACAAAACCATGTGTGTGCCCGACACCTAGCAGGTGCCGGGCACAAATGACCAAATTGCCCTTCTATTAAAATCTAAATTTTAATACAAGTTTGACTTCTGCCGAAAATTCGGTAGAGTCTCCTCTGTATTAGTTTATTTCCTAAAATTTCCACCTGTCAAACAAGCATATAAAAATATATCCCAATGTTCAGTATGCTATGATTTACATCCTAGGGCAATTCATCAGAGCAATTCTAATTCAAAATTTACAATGAAATGGTATAATTACAAAGTGATCCTACAAAGCAGAACAGATGGATGAAGTGTGGTGACAGCCCTGTTGTGGCGCTCTGGTGCATGTCTATTACCTGGGGGCGCAAAACATTTAAGAAAAATGCGAGTGGACAAAAATAAAGTTTTAGAAAATAGTATAAGAACATACTAACCCCTCTGTAAAAACATTTAGAAATCTCGATTATATTCCTTATATACTCGTACAAGAATTTCCAAGACATGCATATATATATATATACATACTAGTAGTCATGCATTCAATTGAAACATCAAGACGTTTTTGAAAACATTATAAAAGAATAAATCCTTTCCACCTAGGTGTACCCGTCATTTAATCGTCAATTCCCTTATTTCCGTTTATTCCCACATATTACCGTCAATTCCTCATCTCACCGTTGGTGACAAATCCTCACAAGTCTCGGTAACACAAAGTCGACCCGAGCCGCAATCTCGCTGGATTCTGGAGAAATTTAGTCGACATGATCCGCATTCCTCGCTCCACACGGTCCGGATATCCCTAAGACTCGTGGGGCAAAGTCAAACGCACAGACTATACCGAAGGCAACAATTTTTATCCGAGGGAACATTTATTTCGAGGCAACATTTATAATTCCTAGGTACCTAGGGTGGTTTAAAATAAAATATATATTTCCGAAAAAGATTAAAGTTTATAAAACTATTTCTCAATATTCTTAAATCCTGTTGCCATTACCCTTCCTACTTTCCAAGCCATGCTCAACTTAAATATAAACAAAATATAATAAAGATAATCGAGATTAAACCATCATGCTTGGAAAGTGAAATTCATAATAACTCATGCAAGATCAATTAATCAAACTTTAGTTGCATCAAATCATTTATAAAAACAAAAAATCCACTCATTGAGTGTTCGAGCTAGTTGGAACTTTTGAGGGTCCCTCCTGCGGGTCAGCTAGTGCTCGAGTACCTATTTAAACCAATATGAATATTTAATCAATAAAATTACTCAACATAAATATTTAATCCGAAACCCTGACTCCCAACTCCTAAAAGTACGTGTACCAAGTTTAAGATCATTCCTATGCCCACTTAAGCATTCCCAATGATTAGAATGGTCTGAAAAGACCCGAGACTCAAAAAGAGATAAATTCTCAAAAAGTTAACCCGGGACCCCGTGGGGTCCACGACCTCAAAATTCCAATCCGAAAGTTCCTAGAGATTCCATTATATTTAGGAAATATGTCCTGAGAGTTTGGTCTCGATCGAATGGTCGGATTAATCACGATCGCCCGATCGGACGGTTATTATTTAATTAAACTTTGAAATATTGAATCGGAATATCTGAGACTCCGATTCACGATCCTCGAAATCCTATACGATCCTAAGAGTGCCTAGATCAACATATATTAAATTGGAAGCGATCCAACGGTTCGAACATATCGACCCCGAATAACGCACAATATGCAAAATCCATTCGAGGTTCAAACGACATCCAAATTGGAATCCGAACACACCTAAGCGCTCGTGACAACTAGAGGATCACATCGGGACACAATGCCCCTTTGCTACAGTGCCCACGTGCCGCCACGAGCTGGCAACACATGGGTATCCTAAGCAATAGTGGCTGCCGAAAAAACCTCAAAATTGAGGGCCAAGATTCCTACCCTAGGTTCAGAACATCAATTGAAGCCACTTTTGTTCTTGGACCTACCCCGAAAAATGGCCGGAAGTGGCCGGAATTTCAACCCGAAATTCGGTCAAACTTTGATTCCAAAAACGAATTACCTAGGCTACAAATTGATCAATTCCTACCCAACCATCAGCTAGAGCATGGAAAATAGGTGAGAAAGCATACCTCACACGTCAAGATTGGTGGCTAGAGGAGGGAGAATGACGCCAGTGAAATTTATGTCAAAAACCGGCTGTTTCCATCGCGATTTCCGGCTGATTTCGCAGCTACCGGCAGCAGGGTAGGGTCGGGGTGTGATGGCGGAGCTGGGCCGAGTGTTTTGGGTCCGGTCTCGAGGGTTGGAGTGGTCAGCAACGGTGGTTATGAAGGTTTGGGGGAGTGGCTGGGAGAAAATGAAAGGGGGGGG